TAAACATACAGTTTCTAAAGTTACATGCGTATGAACTTTTTAGTTTGTTTCCACCGTTAAACCCCGGTATCCTTGTCGTTTTTGTTTTTTTCAACTTTGATTCCTTGTTTGAGTAATGAATAATAATTTTTTTCATAACAGTTTATCAAATTGTGAATTTTCAGGCTCTGGCACGTACATCGATCCGTTGGGTAGTCACTGCAGAAACATCCAAGACTATCAGATACCGGAAGATGCGAAGGTGGTCAGCAGCTATTCGTATCCTCAGCGTACCAGAATGCGTAATTGAATACTGTTTGTTGCCACCATGGCATAGCTGCTTAACGTGAGTTCGTTTAGACTTGATGAGAGCTTGTGTCGCCTTCTACATCGTTGGCCTTGGATTTCTGTTCATCTGCCTGTTCACAGGAATCAGCGGATGTTGGCGCAGAAGTGCCATGCTGATTCTGGTCACAGGGATTTTGCTGCTGTTTTCAAGTAAATAATTTTGTCGTGTTGTGTATCAAATAACTGTTTGAATAAGAACTTTGGAAGACCACGAAACTAGCCATCCTCAGTCTTTCGTTATGCGCGTTTTGTAGTGGCTAGTGGTACAGTGATAAGAGGTCGGCTTTGAACTCCTGAGGTGCCGTTCTATTCACGCGAAGGGCAATCTGTGTCGTTGCAACGAATTCGCTTGAGCAAGGAATTTACTACACGTTACTTCAGAGAGAGGTTGCTCCGTAGATAGAGTGTCAGAATCAGAACCGATCAGTTCATAGTTCGAACCCCAGTCAGGGTCACTCGAGTCATTCGCCATTTTTCCTTCTGAGGTTGATAAATGAGTGGAATGGAAACAGAGAAGAGTACAGAATTTGCTTGTTGCATGCCTGCTGCCGACTCTGCCTTCAAGAAAGTAAGGCATTCCTTGATAACGAAATGGAAATGGAAATTATCTCTCCCACCATTAACTTCTTGAAAGCAAGAGTGACGCAGTTGACTTTATGATGTAAGTGTAAGGAAGACCGACATTCCAACGGTTTTAGATTTTCCTCTTCTCTCAGTTTTCATGTGTTGCTTCGATTCCTTATGATGTTTCTGATCCAGAAAGCCCTAGTGCGTCTTTTCACCTCTCACATAAACAAGTTCTTCGTTTGTAACGCAGGTCCGATTTTAAAGTGCACCGTATTCTTTCAATTTTGTGGTAATGTCGTGTAATCACGCATTTTAGTATGGCTCGACTCCAATTGAGATTTTTGGCCATTCTAGAAAACCTGTATTTCCGAGGTTAATTTTTGTTATGCATGCCTGTGGATCACAAAAGGCGTTCAAAAACGTTTTTGTTCGATCCAACAAAATGACGTTATTTTGCACTCAAGCGCTTCAATTGCTAAAATACCATAAGCCATGGACGGCTTCAACGGTGCCTTAGGCTACTGAAAGCAAGGGAACGGTGCGACTATGTCGTGCAAATTCGCGTAAGTGACCATAGTCTGAAGCTATTATGTTCATTGAGTTTAAAGCTTGAAAAGTATTAATTAGTTCCTTTTATTTTAATTTACTTTGTCATATTAATCTTGTTATGTTTTTCTTTTGCTTGAGTTTCAGGCTTAAAAAGTATTCGTCAATTTCGTGTCGTAAATCGTTTTGAATTTTTGGATTCGTTAGCGCATGGTCGGAATTTCTGTTATTTTTTAAAAACCTATCGACGGCTGCAGATTTGCATATTTTGGCTGATATCCTTGTTTTGCTACAAGCATGATTTTCGATTGAATCTGGCATTTAGTCATCTTTACTAGAGTTACATTCACGAAAAATGGTTAATCGTCTGTTTTTATCCCTTGAAATTGTTCATTCTTTAAAAGCGTTTTTCATGACGACGGTATAGGCATTTGGAATTTCGAAGAAAATTAAGAAGTTTTTCGCTTAGGCAATTTGCAGTCGGCATGCAGTAGTCTTTCTGTAAAATATTATACATGATACAAAAACAAGATGCCTCAGTGTCTGGGATTTTGCGACTGTAAGCATTTTACACTGATACGTTTCTGCTCATCTGCATTTGTTATCATCCTAGACAAGAAAGGTAGTATTGACTTGCACTAAACCTTATGTGCGCAGAAATGGTGTTGACTTTGCTACAGGTATCTGGACGCAGAGTGACTCCTCGTCTGAACTTCACGCATAAGGGTGGTCTTGGCTAACATTCGTCAGCAATCAGTGACCAAGTCGCTGTGCTGAAATGACTAAAGTTGACGCCACAGGGTCAATGATATCCTCCAGGTCGATCTTACTGATACGAGAAATATGCACAACGACTCCACACATAATGCGAAAACGCATTTATTGCAGACATGCAAATACCATTAATCCGATATAGGTAATCATCGGTGCTAAGTGGCCAAGGACGAAGAGACGAACAATCTGACTCGAAAGCGGTATCGAGAATTTCATCAACCTTGTGCGGTAGAAGGTCCTTTGCTCACTGTTATGAACACGGTATCACCTGATCAGGCCAGTCTAGACGGTCGTTTAAATAAACCCCCTAAATGGTTATTTCTAATTTCTGCTCACGTCAAATCGTTATTCATCTATGTGGAAAATTAGTAATCAGTCATAAGAACAGGATAAACTCTATGAATATGAAAAATTGCTTCTCAGGCATAGCATTTTTGAACGACCTTCCTACGAGAGCAGTTTATTTTTTGAGGCGAGCAAATTATTTTAAACTGTATTGCTACTCACCACTTCTGCTTTTCCCGACCTACGCCTAGAAATTAGCTGCAAAGGGTGATTTTTTCGTATCTTCTGTTAGTGAGCCGTTGAATGCTTGCCTAAGTTCGATTTTTGGGAGGTTCCCTTTGCATCGACTTCTATGTCGAATTGTTTATACCGAAAAATATCAAATGGCATTTGGGCGAAATTTAGAAGGGAATTATGCCAACTGATGTTCAAGGGTCAGCTCCGACCTCACGTGAGCGTCCTGAAGTTTCTTCGCGTCTACACTCTGTCGCATGTCTGTTGGAGTGCATACTGCAGTACTGACATGATACAGGTTACCGGCTACTGGTGTAATACGGGCGTCATGCAGGTGGAGCAGATTATTGTAGACAAGAGGCAATGTAACGTTCATGATCAAAGCAACGAAATTTAGACGACGAAGCACATCGAGCCTACAGCTGCCTAAACGAGTTCGGCGAGTTTCTGAGGTCGAGTATCATTTCAGCCGAATCCAGTATCAGCAGTCCGGAAAATCCTGTTGTCCAATTTTTGCTCAGTTTTGAACGAGAACATTATGGAAATTTATCTTGAAAATGAGTTACATGTGGTAAATGCGCTTAGAGCTTGAAGGCAAGTCACTTTCCTTCGTGATGCTCTGTTGAGCAGTTATTCGTAAGGCAATAACTGGCGTGAAAACTGTACAAACTTAATCGATTTTAATGGCCCTTTGCCTAAGCCATGCGGTGTCTATGAGTAGTCCTTCCTAGAGCGTAACACGCGCATTCCCACGGAGAGTTGGAGGAGTAATTTAACGATCCCGTCATTTTCAAATTTTGAAACGTTTTACTAAGTTTTCTCATTTGCGCTCATTTAAATTGGCGGTTTATTATGTATTTGCTATAGCCTCATGAAGAATATCATTTTCGTTATATCGTTCGTTAGGCTGGCAGTGCGCAGTCACCCGCAATGATCAATTAAATAGAGATGATGCACGACGTGGCAAGGTCAGTTGGACAGGCGCCAGCCATTAATGTTATCTCGTGACCTTGTAGTTATGTTTAAGTGCCTGTTTGAATTCATTGATTTGATCCTTCCACTTCCATTCCGATCATTCCCGACCCATAGTGACAAAATGCACATTAATAGCGGATACATGTAAACTTGTGATGAAGCTAGTTGGTGTTGCGTTCCTTGCTAAGGTACTTGTTTATGACGTCAGTGAATACGCTCTACCGTTATTGCGCATATGATAATATACTTGATCGACCGGAATTCACTAATTACATACATTGCACGGGGTCATAAACTTCTTATTTTATCGTTCGGGCCTTCCTCTGCTACAGAATCCTTAAAGGCCAGAAATGAAATCTCGCCAAAGGTTGGGGAAATCGTCTCATCACCATCGGTGGTCAGTAAACCAGGCTACATTTCAGTAAATCACATTTTGCTCCACATGATCTTAACGATTACATCTTTTATTTTGGTTGGCAGTACAGCTGCTAATAGTAAGATATTCTTTTTCGTAGAGTAGTCGAAATGAAACGAGTGAGTGCTGAATTATTGTAATTATCTGTGCATATCTGCGTCTTATCACAATACAAATATATGCCACTTCATCATGATTCTTTATGCGTAAGACTGACCGTTTGGGTCATTTGAGACAGCGGTCCAAGGTTCATCTGTGACTCGACTTTCAGATCGTTGTAAGATAAGTTGCAAGATCTGTTGTAAATGGCGACCTTATGACTTGTCAGAGAATCTTTGCTAGTTCTTAATACCCGTTCTCCTTGCAAGCGCTGTTGCAACTGAAGAACAGTGTAACTTCACAGCTGCTCACTGCAAAATTAATTACTCCCGAAGGTCCATCCTTCCAGTCATAATCGCTAGTATTCTTGGCTGTGTTGTAAAGGTAAGCTTTGGGAAGAAGAGCTGCCAAAAAGGAAAGTTTTTAACCGTTGGACTGTCGATCGTCGGTCTTCTTTACACTACCATGATGGGACCATTCGTTTCGTCGAGTGAATAGTGAATAATGTCCATTTTCACGCAGATTGCCCTATTTTATCTGCCTTTATCAGCCAGATTTGACAGCAGCTACGTCGCAAGCGCTGTGTGTAGTCTCCTCTTTTCCCCAGAGTGGTGCTCGTTTATCATTCTCAGAATTATGAAAGGCGAATGACCCCGAACGAGACTAGGAACCGGTATCTGTCTGTTATGAGTCTCATGTTAGGCCAAATGAGTAACCCTGATTTACAGTAACAATGACATATACTATCCAGTGATCACTAGTAATCCTTCAAGTCAATTTGTCATGTCTTTTCCGTCTTGAGAATAGCTATTGTTTATGGTATCATTTATTCTCATAAGTCTTAATGATGGCTATATGAGAAGTTGTGGTCTTTTAATTAAGGTTAGTAATTATTGTTATTTTAGCTCTGTTTTTGGCTGGTTCAATTGCGGTATGGCACGGCGTAGATTATTTGCAGAAAGAAGTGATTGGCATCGACGCGAGCTTCGAAAGTATTCGAAAAGTTAGTATTAATCTTTCGACAACTTTACTCCACCATCATCGTCACACATAATAACCACGCACTCGTATTGTATGTTAAAATTTTCAGTAAGTAGAGTAACTGTTATTCTTAAACGGGTCATCAACATGGTAGTAAAAATGCATTGTTTGCGATTATACGCGTTGCATACTTCATTGTATGATTACAGTTAAAAACATCTAGTTCTTAATGACAGAAACATAACATTAGCAGAACTTAAAATTGCAGCAACGATACGATATACACTGTGAAGAATATCATTAATGAATAAAGATGAACTATCATAACCTGAAAATGCAATGCTGCTGCTTTTTACATGCTCAGCTTGACTAAAAATTGATGTTACAGCTGTGCTAATAGTAAACCTGCCGTAGCATTGAGCATCGCAAACTGCGTTGTAAACGAACGTTTTCAAAAGCCAAAGTAATCAGCATTGTGAAAGGTCAACCCCGTAATTGATCGTGTGCAGTTTGCCGCTTATTGCAACAGCGGTAATAATAAACATGTTTTTCCGTTGTTATTTAAGCCCTGCTGAAGACCTGCACGAGTTGGGTAATAGATTTACGTAATTCTTCATTCTCTGCAGACTTTTGCTGGGACAGCTAAACACTAATTATGTTTTGATTAGGCGTCGTTTTGTTTTCGACCGGTGGCCAGTTTTTCTCTGGCTAGAGATCATCCAGCAGTAATAGTCTAAAAATCACCGAAAATGGTCTTAATTCATTACGCAATTTAAACGAATTGGAATTTCCAAGTTCCGATAATGACCATGAAAAACTAAACTGAAATTCGTTTCGTTTACTACCTACATAAACATTATTTCTTGCTCTTTGAAACTGGTAAGTCGTGTTTGATCCATACAAACCAGTGAGTTCTCTTTTAAAGTCAGTAATTTGTAGGGGTGCGTATTCTAACTCAGTAAGGGAAGTTCTTTACATTGTTATTTCACCTGATTGTGCGTATTTATACTGGCATAATTGTACTTCCATTATGGAAAGAGTGATAGTCAGCGCGAATTATGTTATTATATGCTCATGTGGGCGGTCTTGCTTACGCATTCCTATAGATTATATTCGTGTAACAGACCGATCATCCAATTGCCTTACGAAATTTTCTGTTCCACAGTATAGTTTTGCACACTGTGATTAAATATACCATTCACTGCAAATGTATTATTTAATATATTGCGTTTCAACGCAGTTTTTTTTTTGATTTAGCTTATCAACGATAACACGATGATCGGCTACGGATGGTCTTACATGATTTCATGGATCGGAATCGGCTTCATTCTCATATCTTCCATTCTTATGCTAGCGGCATATCGAGCAATAAGGGTGAGCATTTTAGGATGATTAATTTTCGCTTGATCATTACTGATCTTATTTCTCTCAAGTGCGAAGCTGGAACAGTGAATAAACACTTTTCATAGGGTTCCAAGAAATTTTGGTTCTACGTAGTATATTTGAACTGCTAAATTCATTGGTGCATAAGGTGGCTGCATTTGGGTACAAAACTAATTTACATACTTAACCATGAAGGCTAGCCTAACTCACGCTGGGATAACCAAAAGTTAACAGGCATGACACCATGATTATGAGCAGCCTTAGTCTGGTTATTTCAGAGCGACATCTCAGCCGTCTAAACTGTTTGCAGGCGCCGACTCATTGTTTGTTTACTGACTGGCTGCACTGGAGCACAATCGATGAATCTCAATGTTGGTCATAAAAAGTCCCCCAGATACGTACGAACCATCGAGATTAGACATCCTCAGTCGGTAGAGCATCAGACTCAGAACCGGAGGTCTCGGGTTCGACACCTGGTCTGGTCACTTGCTTTTCTTCCTTCAGAGATTGATAAATGAATACCATTATGTGGAAAGAAAATTGCCAGCTACACACTATGCTTATCACGTTGCTGCTGCCGACTCTGCCGTTAAAACAAAACCTTTAGCGCATCTAAAAAATGGTGATCTTGCTGTATGGCTTGGAAACAGTGACCTTGTTGAAAACACATGAAACATCGTCTGAACTACTTCCAGCGACGTTGTCTACACCACATGCTCAACGTTGTTGGTTCAAAACGAACCAGAAAGAACAAGCCAGAACCGAATTACGAGTACTGTCTTGATTACTCCACGAAATACGAATTTCGTGGTTTGATGACGCCATGTACAAGGACAAAACACCAACCGGTCAAAGAATCTTAACTGTGAGATCCAGACCGCAGCTCCGACAGCCAACATCGAATTTGGAAATACCTCGAGACAGATCTGCACTAGCTTTGGAGTATCTCCTTCGTGCATGCAGCAGGACGTGTTTAAAATTACAACCGATATCATTAGACTAAGCATGGCGGCCATGCAGTAGAGCCTAATTTACGATGACATACACATGCATAGACAGTGCTAATTCGATATGTTTGGTAATAAACTTTAAATTAAATAAATTAAAAATTTTCCTTTTTTCAGGAAGAAGAACGTGACGAATATGACAAGAAACGAATGCCCTACATAATGCCAAATTATTACGACAAAACGGCGATGATGCCGTACACGTACGCCAATTACGGATATCCGTATCCGACCTACGGCTACAGCGGGGCATACGGCCCGCCCGGAAACAGCTATTACGGCTACCTAACGTATGCTAGATAAGCGGAAGAA